GTTTTTGTTTTCTTATCTGACAGTGGCGACATTTTTAAGCTATCTGAGCCTCTATCAGTCAGTGGTGGGACAGGCCCTAACACTTTTTTTAAAAGAGAAGGTGACAAAGATGGAACGGGAACTGCAGATGCGTTGCTTTGAAAATACTCGCTTTTTAAATGTCAATGAGTCATATTTGGAAGATGTAGGTACTGAAATATAATACCTATATAAAATTGTCCTTGCCTTTCAACTTTTTCACACAATTATATAGCATGTCGCTATCAAGATTTAGTTGACTTAGACGGTGCGACGTTGACTAGATTAATTTAATTCCTCGAGCAATCTAAGCAACACGTGAACGCAACTGAATTTCCGCTTGAGCCTTGAAAACCTGCACTTTGTGGTTACCAAGTAATTGGAAATTTGTTTTTTATTTAAAAAAATAATTAATTAATGAGTTTTCGTATCCATACCTTTCCCTGTTCCATACCAAAATTCAACAATGACTAAATTAGCCATCATGAATAGAGCCTTTTCGGATTAAGCCGAGCTACATTTTCACGGTACATTTTTCAATACGGTCGCTTACGGTCCGGACATCAAAGCCTACGGGTGTTTTTCACCTTTTACCTCGCGTCACCTCGTAGCCCGTAGCCCGTAGTCGTAGCCCGCGTAGCGGCACTGTAATTGAAATGCCTTTGTGCCTGAAATGCGGTCACTGGAGGCTTTGAATGGACGATAACATGCTAATTTACTTAGTGACAGCATTTTAAATAAGGTTGTATGTTGCATTTTTATTAAAGAACAAAGTAAAATTTCAGAGTAACTTAGTGTATTTAGAGATGTTCTCGTTGTATATGTGCTTAGAGCGGGCGCGTCCTTTACTAAACTATAGCACAACAGTTGTGCGATTGTCGATTGTTTCGCAGCCTTCAACTGTTTAGTTGCACAACTAAAAATCGAGTAGTACACCTCCATATAAGACCATAGAAATCGAAGCGCGAATAAACAGTACGCGTTGTAATTCAACGTAATTTTACGTTACTTCTATAGTTCAAAAGTTTACTAGAAAGAATGCTTAGTTACGTTCGTGATTTTAGTTGTCCGATTAATGTGTTTAATTGTTATTTAAAAGGGTAATTTATTTTAATAACTTCGTGCCTGTCTGAAGGGTTGATATTTGACTATCCGACACACGTCCAAAAGGTCAATGAGTTGACAAATTTTGAAAAGGGTCATACCACGCATACATACTTTAGAAAATTTTAACATACTGTTTTAATTTTAACTAGCTGTTCCCGTGCGACGTCATCCACATAAAATTGTAAATATTCTAATTTATTGTTTACATTTGTCAAATTATTAATTGCAAATGTCAAAATGACATGACATAATGACAATCTTGCTTCCTTGATGTTGGCAGCAACTTATGGTCTCTTTCCCACATTAGGGTTTTTATCCAAAACTTTATCCCCTAAGTTCAATGGCTTGAGAAAATATATTTAATGCGTGACGTAAGTGTAGGGCTTTTTATTAAAAAAAATAGTTCAAAAATATGCTGTAATTGCTGACATCTTAGGCACCAAAGAAGTGTGTGTTTACGCTTTATTATCATAGTATAGATATACTGTTTTTAGAGAATATAATGAAAGTTGGAACGATGGATAGGATTTTAATGTTTATCAGTAGGTTTAAGGTTTTATTTAGTATCAGTACATCTAGAGTTTTATTTTTTTTCAACTACATAAGACGTATTGAGAAGCCTTTTTGTGCAACGACAGCTGTAAGGCTTCTAGCACACTGAAAGCGATCTAAATTAAATATATTTGATTCGTTTAAGCTCATCGAATTAAATTTAAGGTATTAATACATAGTATAATAATATAGTATAATTGTGTTGACTAACCACAGTTTTAAGTAAAAATCTTATAAAGAAGATATGGGCGAGGGCATGAAATAATAGATTTATATTTCATTTAATCTAGCCTAGAATTTGACTATTTGGAAGCCATGCAAAGAATGATAATCTAAAATGGAGAAAACCTGTGTTCTATTTCAAACTTCATATGTCATGTGTCGCTTCGCTTCCGATTAGCTGTCGCTGTGCTATATGTCTAAGATAAGATCGGATTTCCTATAGGTCACGACTCGGTCTATAAGATTATTACGGTCACGTGATATCGAAGCTTAAAGGAAATGGTTCACTGCATTTTAAGTATTCTGAACTGCATATGAAATATTTAACCTATCTCAGATAAAAAAAACATATTGTTATCTCTAAATTTTAAGAGAGTGAAAGAGATGACTATATTTTGCACTTATATGCAGTAAAAACTCACAGCTTTAAGATTATAAAGTCATTGTTTCCTTAGTCATAAGGTTTCTAAGACAGGATAATCTTTCGATGTGAATGACTTTACAATGAGTTTCTCTTTGGAAGGGTTCGTTGTATTATTTGAGTACACAATCCGGGAAAATACAAAGTCTAAAAATAATACACTCGAAAACATTAAAGACAAGAGTAATAAACGAATTAAAATAACGAAATATGATTTTTTCTCTATTATATTATAATGTTATCTCGCATACCCACTCTGTTTTGTGGGCATACTCTATGACACTCCTGAAAAATGACGAATTCAATAACACATCCCTTGACAAAATCGGTTTAGGCGTTTAGAGTGGACGAACACCTTTAACTAAACTATTGCACAACTGTTGTGCGATTGTCGATTGTTTCGCAGCCTTCAACTGTTTAGTTGCACAACTAAAAACCGATTAATGAACCTCCATATAAGCTCAAAGGAATCAAAGTTGCGCGTTGTTTTAGTCAAAGGTCTGCGCTCTTCATCACTAAGCCAAAATAAATTTAGTTTTAAAAATCTTCTTACATATAAACAAAGATAAGAAAAAATTACCCTCATTAAAAAAAGTGTCAAACTCTAAACTTTTTAGGCAGCTATTGAAGTGGAAAGTATAACTTAGAATATTTTCTGACTAAAAGTATTTACAAATATATCTCCTAGGAGTGTCTGGTAGGTCATTATCTCCAAACAAAGGAAACAATGTCTGTACAGACTACGCTACTTTCATATTTCTTTTCTTATTAAAATTAACTACATCAGTTGGCAACACGAATAGGTTAATATTTTACTTGAAAGAATTTATTTAAAACGCTATTTTCGTCATTTTTGTTTAATAAAACGTAAAAAAATAATTATTTGGAATAAATACATCGTGACATGAAAAAGAAGTTACTTTGTTATTTCAAACACATATTTAGTTTATCTTACTTACAAATCATACTAATATTATAAATGAGAAAGTTTATATGGATGGATGAATGTTTGTTAGAGTTTGTAGCAAACAGTTGAACGGATTTCTAGGAAATTTGGCATAGATGTAGAGCATAGTCTGGAGCACAAAGGCTTTCTTATTCAGTGCAGACGGAGTCGCAGGCGACAGTTTTATTATAATTGCATTAATAGAACACTGCTTCATATATGTATTGAATGAAAAGTGTGAAATAGCAGTACGACATAATATATTGCCGTATAGAGAATTACTTCATCTTACTAATATTATAAATGCGAAAGTTTAGATGGATGGATCGATGGATAGATGGATGGATGGATGTTTGTTAGCGTTTGTAGCCTAAACGGCTGAACGGATCTCCATGAAATTTGGCACAGGTTTAGAGCATAGTCTGGAAGAACACATAGGGTACTTTTTATCCCGGGAATAGTGACGGTTCCTGTGGGATTTATTAATTTAGTTTTTTAATGTTTACTCGATCATTCTACAACGGTTCAATATATCCTTTTGAAATTTGGCACAGATATAAAACCAAGTCTGGAGTACACATGGAATGAGGTTCATTCCCGAAAAATGTCCGGTTCCCGAGGGATATGTAGCTTTTTGTTATTTATATAGTTCGTATGTTTTCTAATACCACGCGGACGAAGTCGCGGGCAACAGCTAGTACAAAATATGTTAAGGATATTACTAAAAATCAAAGTATATGAGAAGTTAACTCCCACTGAGTTAGAAGATATCCCGTTGACATCACAGGACGAGGCGTCTCATAACATATTCATAATTTGCTTTAAAACACGTAATAAATCGCACGAAGGCGAAAGGGGTTGCGTTTGACGGCGAGGGATGAATGATGAATGAATTATTCATAATGAATAATGTCTAAGCCGATTTTGAAACCATTCAGTCGTTCCAAGTTCATATACGTCAGTGCCGCGTTATACAAAGATGGCGTCATCTTTATTTACAGGTAAAGCTTGGCATTTTTATTATAAACTAATTTTCCCCTGCGACTCTCCTCGTGGAATTAAAAAAAGCTAGTGGCCTATATGTTCTTCCAGACTATCTACATGTATACTAGCTTCTGCCCGCGACTCTGTCCGCGTGGTATAAAAACAAAAATGAGTAGCATATGTGTTCTTCCAGACTATCCCCTACCAATACCAAATTTCATCGAAATTCGATCAGCTGTTTAAGCTACAAACTTCAACGATCATCCATCCATCTAAAGTTTCCCATTTTTTATTATTAGTATGATTACCATGTATACCATATCAAAAATATAAAATCTTTCGACTTATTGCGCAATAACATGGAAATAATTTCTGTGATGTAACAAAGAAGGTGATTGAAGCGCCCTCTGGATAAGGTTATGTTCGTAGTTAATACGTAAGTTTTGTGCAACATTGTATGCAAATAAAAGTGTATGCAACTATATGTCGGTCACAAGATTAGTGAGCCGATACGTGCGAAATTGCAATAACTTTGATGTACGTGACTCGTCACGAATTCTGCCGATTGATGATAAGTCATGCGGTTGTATTGATTTTATTAACACACTTTAGATCTGTGTTATTATTGTTAAATATCAGCAGATTTAATATTTGATATTACCCTTAAATATTAACGCAAATAAAAGGACTTTTTTCTATGTGCATTTCATTTATTTGAGTTTATAAAGGTAAGTTTACATATGAAGATTTTTAAAACAAGGTACCGCAGCCGCATCGTGGTTCGCTGAATGTTCTTGGTGTGATGCGGTCATTGGCATACAGCAGACTAGGGGCCGCGCCCGCAAAGTCTTCATTGAGAATAGCCACGTCCCCGTACCCACAACCATAGGCGACAGCACCCGCCCCAGCAGAGGGTACTGCACCCTCCAGGTACGTGGTGCCGAGGAACGGTAGTTGGCCCACTACTGCCACGATGCCTGAGTACTCGTTGTCAGACACCACCGACACGCCGTGGGGCGGTGTGGGAGACGAGCTCACTACAGCGAAGCCGCCGCCGTCCGCTGCGGCCAGCGCGCTCGCGGCGCTGTCTGCCCCCGCCCGCCCGCATCCGCACCCCGCGCTCCGCACACCCCACACATTCTGCTGAACGCTCAGTGGCAAGCACTGACCATGCAGACTCTGAACACACAAAACACATAGATATATACTATAGGAAGCGATGCCTCTGTGTAAATAAACTAAAAGAGATCAACTCACCGACACAAGACATCCGAAGACACAAAGCGCTGCGATAGTTGAAGACATTTTGTTTACTTGAATGTTTGTACTTTGATTGAATGTTTAGAACAGAATGAATGTGAACTCTCACTATTGTTATTTATATTGTCACAGTAACATATTTATCAATGTACATTGCAACATGTAGCAAAACTGAACTATACTTCGTTAAATTTTGCAAATTTTTGGAGACATGTTAGTAACTAATCACACTCACGTATACGTCGATTACAAGTTTCCAAAGTAGGTATAAATAGTAGTAAGTAAAGGACAGTTGTATCATCAGCCAATCAACCAATAAACAGTCATGTCGACCTTCCCTCGTTGCGGACTTCTACTGTGCCTTGCTGCTTGCCTGCTTCAGGTATCATAAACATTCTCTACACAATGCAATATGAAAATGTGTTTAGTATTAAGTTAACTAACATTGTTGTATGTTGTAGGGAGGTGAAGGACAATACCTTTCAAGTGGTATTGGTGTGGGATACGGCAATGTTGATTGCGGCTGCTAGCGGGGCCCGGGGTACGCTTGGCAAGGGGCGGGCGGGAGTGCGTGGGGGGTGCCAGAAGTGGTCGGCGGGTACGGGGGCGAGGGTGTCGGGGACTTGGACGTGGCCGGTGAGCTGCCTGTGGCGGGCACCACGCTTGTGGCCGGGCAGGTGCCGGTGCTGGGCGCAGTGCAGTTCGCGGGGGAGGTGCCCGCAGCGGGCATCGTCACCATCACTGGCAGATGCGGTTGCGATTGTAACGGATCACCACTGTTAATTTAAAATTTTAAACCAATAAAATGAATCTCCCATACACTATATTTTATTTTAGATCTGAGTAATTATTAATGCTATTAACCTTTTATAAACCCGCATGGGAGACAGAGATTATGACTTCTATATGAAAGATTTTCTACACCCATAAATCTAATACAAATCCAGATTTTGAAACCAAATAAGTTCTAAGTTCTCTGAATGTAATAGTGGAATCCACGAGCACAAGATCGATTCAAAGCCTTAATTTATTAATACCTTTCTAGTATGTCCTGATTTGTCCTAAATGTTCCTTGAAGATAACATTTAAATTGTTTTCAATTCTTCAGATGTTGCGGTTATTGATAGTTAGCTCTGAACACTTTTAGTTATTTTACGCTACGTGCTTCTTTGTTATAAAAAAATGAAAAAAATGCATTTTCACCAAAAGAAGCGGACCACCGCTATTTACAAATAGAAAATACTAGGTGCTGTTATAATATTCACGATATTAATAACATAGATAAAAACATTTTAGTAACAAGTACTTTATTATTCAGGTTCGATATTAGAGGTTTACCACTGAAATTAATTATGCAAAAAATGTATTGTAAAAAAAAGTGACGAAAATCAGGATAGTGTGCCGGTTGGCGTTTCTGCTGATTCTTGAAGCGCCATAGCTTAATTGTTAAGCTTATGGATTCAGGATAGGATACAGGGAACATTAGTGTTGTTACTTTCATTATAAGAGTTCAAGTTAATAGCAATGCAATATATTTGCATATCTGATAAGTATAGTGGTAACATAGTGGTTGTAGATGTCTTACTTATACGAACAGACTTTATAAATCATATAGACTAGGAGACTTGCGGAAAAGGACCATTTTCCATTCAAGTCCTATCCTTCCTCCATGATATCTTCTATGCTCTTCTCATATGATAAAGATGGAACGAGAAAGATCACCATAATTAGGCCTCTGGGACGCACATTTGTGAGTGTATGCGAAATTCCTTTCACTTGAAGCGTGTTTACACGTGTGGTCATGTTTAGTTAGCAGCAAAATGTACAACTGGTTAGTCTTCTGTTAATGTTAATTGGAATTTTACTTCTTTTGCAGAGGACCAGGCTTCATAGATACCTACAAAGTCTGACTTCATGAATATTTTTAAGACATAAAAATTGAAAAGTGAAAAATAGTTCTTAATGCTTTATTGATCTCTTGTTGAAACAGAAATAAGTAATAAACAGTTTTTAATGCATTTTAGAACAGAACATTTCCGCTACAGTCGCAGCCGCATCTGCCAGTGATAGTGACGATGCCCGCTGCGGGCACCTCCCCCGCGAACTGCACTGCGCCCAGCACCGGCACCTGGCCGGCCACGAGTGTGGTGCCCGCCACAGGCAGCTCACCGGCCACCTCCAAGTCCCCGACACCCTCGCCCCCGTACCCGCCGATCAGTTCCGGCACCCCCCATGCACTCCCGGACGCCCCTTGCCAAGCGTAGCCCGGGCCCCGCGAGCAGCCGCAGTCCACATTGCCGTATCCCACACCTATACCACTTGAAAGGTATTGTCCCTCACCTCCCTAGAACATACAACAATATTAGTTAACTTAACACTAAACACATTTTCATATTGCAAGGTGTAGAGAATGTTTATGATACCTGAAGCAGGCAAGTAGCGAGGCACAGTAGAAGTCCGCAGCGAGTGAAGGTCGACATGACTGTTTGTTGGTTGTTTGGCTGATGATACAATTGTACTAAACTCGCTATAATTTATACCATGCAAATAAAGGGTTTAGAAATTGTTGTTATCATGTTATACGTGACAATGATTAAATTTCAACCAACCCCTGCTTTTTCAATACGAAAATTGTAAATTAGTTTAAGATTCGGATAGGTTTTAAAAACGTGCAATTTGTACTTGCTAATTGATAAATATTTCGCAATTAAGAATTTTAAAATTTTCTTTTGCACTGGTTGCGAAAAGTAAAGTACATCGTGACTATATAAACATAAAAGAAGTGTGCTTAGAACAACTTCATTGGAGATATACAATCAAAGCGAAGCGCACTAGAAGCAAACATGGTTGTTTATATTTCAGAGGCTATATTTGCTCTTGGATTTTTAGTATCGGTGAGTTTAAAAGACGACGCTTAATAACGAGATGCGAATATTTAAAAAAAGTTATCAGCTAAATGAAAGTTGTGTTGGTAGAAAGAACGAAAGGGCAAGATTTATTTATTGTACAATTTCAGACCCTGAGTGGACAGTACTTGCCACTGAGCAGCCAGCAGTATCTCGGGGGCTTGGAAGATGCGTGGGGTGTGCGTAACGCGGGGTGCGGTTGCGCGCTGGCGGGGGCAGACAGTGCCGCGAGCGCGTTGGCTGCAGCGGACGGCGGCGGCTTCGCTGTGGTGAGTTCGTCTCCCACACCGCCCCACGGCGTGTCGGTGGTGTCTGACAATGAGTACTCAGGCATCGTGGCAGTAGCGGGCCAGCTGCCGTTCCTCGGCACCACGTACCTGGAGGGCGCAGTGCCGTCTGCCGGAGTGGGGGCTGTCGCCTACGGCTGCGGGTACGGAGACGTCGCCATTCTCAGCGAGGATTTTGCAGGCGCTGCCGCCAGCTTGCGTTACGCTAATGACCGCATTACACCCAGATGCTTCGACAACTCGGGGATCTGCGGTTGTGGCACTTGGTTCTAAAATGTTAAATCTATTTTAGTAAAGATTATATATAATGCGAATAATCAATAAAAGTTATTTCTACATTTGAACAATGATTGTTATTTTTATAAGCCTCCTTTAAACCTAACTTTAAATCTTCGATGCAGAGCTAAGAGATTTCTCTACTAGTTTGGGCTTTTTAATATTTTTTGCAACAAAAAAATATTAAAGAATTTACCTTTCTAATGCTTAATAGTTCTGAATAATAATAATTAAATTGAAATTAACATTTTTCCTACCAAACATCGATTAAAAGACGAACCGTTCGTTTCTGTGACATTTAATAATCTGTCAAACGAGCTGTCAACGTCAGTCGGCGTCGGAATTAGAAAAAACTTTTTATTGTATTGATTTAAATTACATTGTCTTCTAAAGACTATTCTTGTTAATTTGGGATTGAAATCTTCGATGAAAAACAATCATGAATAATTCTGCGATCAAAGTAAGTATTCTTTACCCTTTATTATGCCATAATAAATTCATATATTACCTTTGATGCTGCTCCGTAGACGCTATTATTTTGGGTTATAATTCCTCTGCTACTTCTTTCTTAGTTTAGTTATATCATTAAATAATGAAAGTTTGTTAACTCGAACACAATCTTTTAATGTTTCGATATGAAAAGATATCGTTACATTTCAAAATTGCGTCAAAACAATGCGCAAAAGATTCAAATCCTTCCATACGTTCAATACGATATACAAATGTTTGTTTGTAATTTGTAGGTAGCAGAGATATTCAATGAGGCGGGGACTGCATTCAAAAAGCTGTCTGAGATGACGATGTTACTACATCCAGTTAATGATTCTCAACCTGGGTATAATTCATTATTTTTGCTCAACAATGTTAGAGCCCCTATACACTACATATTTTTATCGTCAAATAGTTTGATTGGGTCATTATCAATCGTAAATCATTTAAAACAAATTAATACAAAGTGTAGTGTGCAGGGTTGCTTAATCTTGTTTTCTTTTACAGTAAAACCACAATAACTCAAACCTTGGTAACATAAAAACCTCTATAACCTCAAAAAATATGTTCCCTTCCCATCAGAGCCCAAAACGTCTATAACATGGACCCTTGATAACTTAAAATTTTTGTATTTCCCTTGGACTTTAACTTGTTGAGGTTCTACTGTCTGTACTAGTATTATTTAATTCATTTCATTATCTTAGTGGCAAATGGACTGAGGAAGAAGTGGAAATGCTGAGGGCCTGTATCCATCGCTTTGCCTTGGACCTGAACCAGCTCAGTCTTCATATTAAAAACCGGACAATGTAAATATATATTTTTTTTATTAATTGTTACAGGGGGCTTTGTCTCAGCGACTATAACACCCCATAGGTCTTTAACTTACAAAACTCAGTTATCCAAATGCTTTTTAAACACATGTCGGCCAACTTAAACACCACCGGCCTCATTCATAGTAAGCCAGGATAGTGTTTAAGCGACTGACATTACATCCATGACTTTTAAAAGAATTATGTCTAAAGCAACAATCATCATCATCTCCCCTGCCTTATCCTACTTCCGTAGGGTCGGCGCACCGGGTTTTCGTCCTCCAAAGCATTCTATCATCCGTCATCTCAGTCATCACTCCCTTCTTGATCATGTCACATTTCACGCAATCCATCCATCTCTTTCTAGGTCTACCTCTGCCGATGTACACCTCCATAATCATAACTAACATCCTTCTTGTTACATGCGATTCATCCCTTCTCATAACATGCCCATACCACTCTAACCTTTTACTCCTTATTTTCTCAACCACTGACAATGTAAATGTAATTGATTTATGATTAGAAATTGCTTAATAAATTCATAATATATAATCTTACTTACTATTATAAGTGTGAAAGTTTAGATGTATGGATGTTTGTAAAAAGGTATCTCCGTAGTGGCTTAATGGATCTAACTGAAATTTTGTATAGATGTAGAAAGTAGTCGGGAAGAACACAAAAGCTACTTACTAAATTTCCTTTTCAATTTCACACAGAAGTAGTCAACAAAACTTAGTAATTAAGTTTGGTTTTATTGCCTTTAGTATTTCATACACAGTAGAACCTCGGTAAGTTAAAGTCCAAGGGAAACAAAATTTTTTAAGTTATAGAAGTTTTAAGTTATCAAGGGTCAATGTTATAGAGGTTTTTAAGTTACCGAGGTTTGAGTTATCAATGTTCTACTGTATTAGAATATGTCTGTGAAGTCAACCCGCAGTGCAGTGTTGACTATGACCTAGCCATTTAGAGTAGGTTGCAAGCTCAGTCGGGATGTATAGCTGAAAATAAGGAATCCAGTCACTAAAGTTCTTCCAGTTCCCAAATAAAGAGGACACTGAAGAAGAAGGCGTTTGAGGATGCTGGTATCCCGCTGCGCGAGGTAAGCAGCACGGTGACCAGCCAGCAGCTGCAGGAGCCGCAGGTAGACCACTCCGCCATCCAGCCCCGAGTGTTAGGAACAAACCCTGAGGTTCAAATATTCACTTAAACACACAGTTTTGCTACTGCCTTGGTTGGTTTTTTTGTTCCGTCTTTTTAGTAGAGTATTAGTACAGTTGGGGAATTTGGTGGTGTTTCACTTTATTATAGTTCTTTGAGAATGATTCCATGAACTGGGGATTCATTACCCCTTAATTACCTGAAAAGCAGTTGATTTATTACTATAAGGCCTAAACAGGCCATTTCTAGCAGATTTTTGTTATTTTTTAAAATAACGGTGTGAGACTTAACTTATCTTTTCATTATAAAAGATGTAAATATAAGTAAATTGCATCAAAACTTGGAATAACCATAGAGTTTATAAGTCTTAGGACAATGATTGGACTGAAACTATGTAAGCACTTTTGAGCTTCCTTCACATTGATATGTGGGACAATAAACAATAGGATTTAATTAATGTATGTACATTATAAGTACATGAGTAATTTTTATTATACCATTGTTTGTGGACACTACCTAGATATTTTAAAAAGATGTAGTTTGTCTCGTAAGGAACGAGGTAATTTTTCTGTAAGTGGCACACTACGCATTTCCGCGACTGTACAGTTTATGTTTCGTTAGAGTATGGTACAAGGCTATTTTTGGTTTGTTCCATTAGTGAAGTTTTGGGGATAAACATTGTAGTTTTATTTTTCTGTTGTCTTTTAATTTTGTAATTTATGAAGGACTTTATTATGTACTAGCTGTTCCCCTGCGGCTTCATCCGCATAAAATTATGATAATTTTATTTTATTGTTTACATGTGTCAAATTATCAATTGCAAATGTCAAAATGACATGACGATGACAAACCATGGCAACCTTGCTTCCTTGATGTTGGCAGCAACTTATGGTCTCTTTCCCACATTAGGGTTTTTATCCAAAGTATTTACCCCCTAAGTTTAATGGCGTGAAAATATATGGCCTAAAGCGTGACGTAAGTATAGGGCTTTTTATTAAAAAAAAGTAGAATTCAAAAACATGCCGTAATTGCTGACATCTTAGGCAACAAAGAAGTGTGTGTTTACGCTTTATTATATTAGTATAGATTGTTGAAGTTGGGATGTATGGATGGTTGTTATTAGAACGTATGGCTCTATCTTCCAGACATAGGCTACTTACTGTTTTTTTTTTAATTCCGAGGGAAAGAGACGTCAATAGCCTAATGGTTGAGGTGATTTCTGATGTGGTCGGGGGTTCGAATCCCGCCTTAAAACTTGTCGTTAATCATTTCCTAGCACAAACCAATCTTAGTACAAGAAATATTATTAAATTAAAAAATATTTACTCTACAGAAATGAGTTTGTTGTCTAATTTTTAGCTTTTTAGTTCAGTTGAAGTTTGGAGTATTGGTATAAGGCTGTTTTTATTGTAGTTACACGCACACGGGGTGGCATGCACTTTATATAAAGAGTGTTTTAAGTAGGAAACTAAAATGTACTTATTTAAAGTTCTCACAGACTTTCTTTGCGTGTTTCCCGTTGGGCCGATCATGCCTAATGTTCTGCCCAAAGGGAAACACTTTTATTTAGTTTTTTTTTAAATATTTATAACTGTTTTAAAACTAAACTCAGTAGTGGTTGTATTGTTTAGAGTTCACGTGATATAAAAAAGTCCAATATTTACTATAGATGTACATAAATTTAGTATTTATTACGTATTTTGCACGTTATATATACATTTGCTTTATGTCTTTAAATGTATTTTTTAACATTATTATTAAAATCATAAAAAACCTTTTTTAAAAAACGTTTTTATCGTTTTTTTCTAAATTACGAATATAATATTAAAAAAGAAAATATTTCGTTTTTATTAAAAAAATAGGAACTCAACAAATACTAGACTAAATTGGTGTTTTTAAATAGTTTTATTTGCTCTAAACGAATATTTAGTTTCTACTTTTCTATTGTTCGTCATACAAAAAATGTATGAAATATTTAAGAGATGTTGCATAACGTCATCCAGGTGACTCTGAACATGTTGAACGCGACGGGCACGGAGGGGGAGGAGGAGATTGGGGGCATTGACCTCGAGTTTGAACCAGTCAACGATGACGTCGCCACATGAAACATGTACAGTCTCAATTTCTGCTAAAGTGTAACCACACTTTGGCAGAACATTGAGATAATTCCGAATTTTATTTACTACCCCCATTGCCTACACTTGTATACTGGCGTCGCCAGTGAAAAGGCAAGGGACACACCCTTAAACTAAAATTATAAAATAAATAAATTTAGATTACTAACGTGCCTACAATACATATGTAGATAACTCTAAAACTACTTGGTAGTTTTTCATTTAAATAATAAGACTACTAAGGTGCCTACAATCCATATACAGATAACTCTAAAACTACTTGGTAGTTATTCATTTAAATAATTAGAATACTAGTCCTCTAGTCCCCTTTTATGGTGCCCCCCTTGTTAATTGGCTGGCGACGCCCATCTCTTAGACGTGCAAAATGTTTTTGTTACGGCAATGGAATTAAACGGTAAAGTTGTGATTTCACGGAACACGGTCACAGCAATTTCCGTGACAAGACTTGCGGCAATTGCAGTCATATAGAAATTGGTAATACAAATTACTGTAATGCTGTGAGCCATTTGCCGTGTCCCATGAAATCCCACTTTTACATCCTTTTCCACTGTAGTTAGTGGGTTCTAAAAAAATATTTGTCAAAATTGGACATTTTATATTGACACTATTCTTAAAAATAGTAATTAAATATGTATTCCATAAAACTAATGTAAAATAATTTAGAATATTATTTACATACTCAAATGTGAAAATTATTCAACTAAGTTTGAATTTAAAAATGAAAAAACTTCGAGTTACTTAAAATAATAGATTTTCCATTATTTGATAAAATTATTTCAAGTAATTTATGTGTAATTGTAAAATAAATGTAAATTTTTGGCAAGAGAAGTTTTGCCGATGACTACCCACAATTAACTCTGACTGACTGAACTCTCTTACTGACCTGGTCTCGCGTTCGCTCAGTGCCGGCAGTTTCGTGACGTCATAACGCCATCGGCAAAGTTTCTGCGCACGATGTCTTGTATTAAACATTTTAAATAGTTATCTATATATAATTAATATTTACGAATCAAAATTCTTAAATATTTTGCGTAAAATGTTTTTGGGTTATATAGCTTGTAAGAAAATGTTTACTATTTATTAAATAGTGTTTGTAATGTTAAAACTATTAATAAGATACATTTTACTTCAATTAATATAATAATGTATTTAACATTACATATGTGTTAGATTGTTGTAACAAGAATACTTCTGTAATAAAGTAGATGTGTAAAATTGTTGTTTTTTTTGTCCGCCCCTATTTGGGAATAGCTTATTATAAACATCAAAACGATAGTCATGATAAAACAGAAGAAAGAAAGAGAAAAATAAATTTCATCTAAAGATTTAATCAAATATTAAAATCGAAAGAATTACATAGGTAATCTTTTAGAATAGTGGTGATCCGTTACAATCGCAGCCGCATCTGCCAGTGATGGTTACGATGCCGGCTGCGGGCACCTCCCCCGCGAACTGCACTGCACCCAGCACCGGCACCTGCCCGGCCACGAGCGTGGTGCCCGCCACAGGCAGCTCTCCGGCCACCTCCAAGTCCCCGACACCCTCGCCCCCGTATCCGCCGACCACTTCCGGCACCCCCCACGCACTCCCGCTTACCCCTTGCCAAGCGTACCCCGCGCCCCGCGAGCAGCCGCAGTCCACATTGCCGTATCCCACACCTATACCGCTAGAGAGATATTGTCCTTCACCTCCCTACAATATACAACAATATTAGTTAACTCAAAAACATTTTTATATTGCATTGTGTACAGAATGTTTATGATACCTGAAGCAGGCAAGCAGCAAGGCACAGTAGAAGTCCGCAGCTAGTGAAGGTCGACATGACTGTTTGTTGGTTGATTGGCTGATGATACAACTGTCCTTTACTTACTACTATTTATACTGAGTTTGGAAACTTGTAATCGACGTGTACGTGAGTGTGATTAGTTACTAACATGTCTTAAAAATTTGCAAAATTTAACGAAGTATACCAAGTTCAGTTTTGCGACATGTTGCAATATCCAATGATAAATGTGGTACTGTGACAATATAAATAACAATAGTAAGAGTTCACATTCATTCTGTTCTAAACATTAAGTCAAAGTACAAACATTCAACTTAACAAAATGTCTTCAACTATCGCAGCGCTTTGTGTTTTCGGATGTCTTGTGTCGGTGAGTTGATCTCTTTCAGTTCCCACAGAGTCATTGCTTCCTATCCCATATATCTATGTATTTTGTGTGTTCAGAGTCTGCATGGTCAGTGCGTGCCGCTCAGCGCTCAGCAGAACGCGTGGGGTGTGCGTAACGCGGGGTGCGGATGCGCGCTGGCGGGGGCAGACAGCGCCGCGAGCGCGCTGGCCGCAGCGGACGGCGGCGGCTTCGCTGTGGTGAGCTCGTCTCCCACACCGCCCCACGGCGTGTCGGTGGTATCTGACAACGAGTACTCAGGCATCGTGGCAGTATTGGGCCAGTTGCCGTTCCTCGGCACCACATACCTGGAGGGCGCAGTACCCTCTGCTGGGGCGGGTGCTGTCGCTTACGGCTGCGGGTACGGGGACGTGGCTATTCTCAATGAGGATTTCGCAGATGCTACAGTTCTGGGCAACAACGGTCTTAACTTTGGAAGAAGTTACAATGAATTACGAGGTTGTGGTTGTGGATTTTATTGAATTTACACGTCTGTCTGTATGTTTTAATATGAATTAAAATATCATGCATGAATTTGATTTTAATTACTCTCCTAAGTGATAATTAAACATTCCTAGAAATCAGGAATTTAAATATCTACTCGTGTTTATTGTACACTGTTTCTATTTCTCTATTCGATTATTGCAAACGATTGCTGTATTCCCGAACGTGTTGATAATGCAAAAACGCAACGTGACGCGATTGCATTTGATTAGAATTGCAAAGCATACTGATCTAATATTAAACACAATGACTTTAAAGATGCCATCCAATTATTTAACTATATTAATCATATTATGGGAACATTTCGTATTTAACTCTGTATTGCGATCGTCCATTGTTAAAGTAACCAATTTTTAAAAATGAAACTGACTCCATATTTTTTCTAACTTTTGAAGCAGTGGAAATCCACCCTAATATTTCTTACACTTTTATTTTTATCAGGCTTTCACGGATGGTTAAACGCGAATACAGAGGTATAGCGTTCAGTAACAATGCCTGATTATTCCAAGGTACATTTTGCATTTCTACTCTTGAATTAAATATCATTTACTACCTAACCGACAAACTTCTCTTTCTGATATGCATGTTTATTGTCGGTATGGGAGTCCTAAATATAAGAAAGGAACAAAAGAGAATAAGAAAATATGCACATACTGTTTTCTTCCTTGTTATGGAATTAACGACATCAAACATTTATTTTAAACTTGAAGGAGACACCTAGAAGTTAAGTTAGTTAAGTAAATACTTATCTGAGAGGTTGTATCATGAAGTATATTTTTATTTTATCAACGTAAAACCTTACGCATAACATATTTTTTATTTGACAACGTATACGAAGTCTGAAAACATTTATTATCTGTCTGTAATTAAATGAGAATTGAAGTAATTAAATGAGTTAGACGTTGGTTACATTTCAAAATAAGTTCATCGCCTTTTAAATGAATAAACATACGCCGTCTAGACTATTTGTCTGAGATAAAATCAGGCAAAAATGGCCGCCAGCATTTCGGCAATCAGAGGTAAACGGCACATCTATGAAACTGATTGAAAGAGATTCTGTTTTGTTTATTTTACGTCTATCTTAGTAAAATTAGAAATGCGAAAGTTTTGATGGATGGATTATTAGAATTCCTTTAGTCCCTTTTAGTCCCATTTTAGTCCCTTTTATGAACCTTCTCTTTCTTATAAGGAAAAGATTGGATGTGAAAGAGGATTTGACGGTGGGTTGAAATATCCTCTTTATGTGCATCTCCTCCGTCGATTTCGGGTGGGCAACGCATCTGCAATTGCAGATGTCTATGGGCAGTCGTTTCGCCATTTTGTCGGATTTAGGTGGCCGCTTGCTCGTATGCTACCTTATTGAATAAAAAAAAAAAGGTCACCGCCTAAACAGCTGAACGGATCTCAATGGACAGATGTAGTGCAAAATTTAGAAAAACATATAGGCTATTTCAAAAACGCAACGTGATGCTTGAGACTGCTTTGTTAATTACCACGCGATAGGAATCGCGGGCGAAAGTTAGTGTTTCAATAAAATCTTGCTAATGTTAGGAAGCAAATTAGTACCGCGCTTTAGAATTGGCGCAACATTAGATTATCGGTATAAACGTCACGTCCCTAGCTGACAGCTGTCAATGTCAGTCGAAGGATTGGGATATTCGCGCGTATTCCTGACGAGATCTCTAGTGGAGTGTTTGAATTAATATCACTATTAAAAATTGTATTAATTGTTAAAAAATAGTATTATAAAAACGATTTTTTAGATAGATTGATGGATGTTTACCTCTTAAACTACTGAACGTTTCTCAATTAAAAGTATAAATGTAGACCAAAGTCTAGAAGAACAAATAGGCTTTAAATCTACGCAGGTAAAAGCTGGTAATCATATAAAGAGCTATTGTAATTGTATTTTTATTTCCAGATTCCTATTGTGATAATAAAAAGACAATATTAAAAGCCTGCATTCGAATTGTCACAAAAGTACTCGACTATTTGAAATTTAAGTACAATTGAATTTTCATTCTGCACAACATACAATGCATTACGAAGTCCTATTGTAAAAGCTTAACTCTATTGTTACCTTTAATTATAGCGTATTTCATTTTTACGCTCCCGTTTAAACAAAAGGTCAACTGAGTGAAGTGAGTGAGTGAATGCAGTCTACAAACTTATTTATTATAAGATTGGCAGACACAAAAAGATTATCAGCGTTACAAATAAATACGCTATAAAGTTAATTTAGGAATAAACTGAGTATAAGCAAATATTAGTACACTAGCTGTTCCCGTGCGTCTTCATCCGCATGAAATTATGAAAATGTTATTTTATTGTTTACATATGTCAAATCCTCAATTGCAAATGTCAAATTACCAATTACCTTACTATGGCAATCTTGCTTCTTGATGGTGGCAGGTCGTATCGTATGGTCTCTTTCCCACATTAGGGTTTTTATCCAAAATATTTACCCCCTAAGTTTAATGGCGTGAAAATATGTAGCCTAAAGCGAGACGTAAGTGTAGGGTTTTTTTTATTAAAAAAAGAATTATTCAAAAATATGCTGTAATTGCTGACATCTTTGGCAACAAAGAAGTGTGTGTTTACGCTTTATTATAATAGTATAGATGGATTAACTTTATACCGCGTTTATTTATAAGGCTGTTAAACTTTTGTAGTATCGTAAATCGTACTATTGCTACATTCAGATTGATTAGGTCACCCGTAGTGTTGTTTAAGTATGAAATACTAGCTCTTGCTCGGGAATACATACGCGTGAATTGAAAAACATAGCCTATGTTACTCATAGATAAATTACCTTTCTAACGGTGAAACAATTTTAAAATCGGCCCATTAGTTTTTGAGTTATAAATACATACAAAAATACAAATCTTTCCTCTTTATAATATTAGAAAAGATATAGAATTATACGAGGCTGCTCAAGTGGCAAACGGAAGTGCAGTAGTTATTACAAAGTTTGTTTGAATATTTCTATTTT